CTTACCATTTTTTTCAAACAATTTTACTAAACTTTTAAATGATACTAAACTTTCAATGACTGAGTCTACTGAAAACTTCCACTGAAGTTAACGAAATGGAATGAAAACTCTCCACAGTATTAAAAAAACACCTACCTGGGGCCAGGGAGATAGCTCAGTAGAATAAGCACTTGCCTGGCAAGTGCAAGGGCCTGAGTTCAATTCCCAGTTCCACACACAAAACAAACAAACAAACAAACAAACAAACAAACCCTACCTGATTTACTAGTGAGAACCCGTTTCTTCTCCACATTCCAGCATGTACTTGGGCACACAAAACAAGACATCGAAGTGGGTGTTCTATCAACATGGGTGGGCTAAGTTCACTCTGTATAGTAACAGAAAATGTCATAAAAATCACAAATATAAAGTAAGCTGGTTGACAGAATTGAAAGGTTTAAAAAACACATGTTAAAATTACTTTAGGAAACTTTTGTGTGATCCTTAATTTTGCGTCAACTAAGCTAGGCTATCATACCCAGCTTATGGTCAATACCAGTCTTGACATCTAGATGTTGTCATTAAGATAATCTTTAATACAAGTGGTACTATGATTCACAAACAACTCTTTCTAGCATTTTGGTTGCAAACTGAATTACTTGGGTACTGAATAAAATTTCCTTGTAAGGTCAACAATGAACCTAACCATTGAATTTGACTCAGTTTATGAGTAATTCAGCTTGTGACCAGACTAATGAAAAGAATTAAGTTTATGAACCAAGGTACCACTTGTATGAGCAAAATTTTTTCCTCTCAAACCTACAGAAATACTCCTGCCTCAGCCTCGTGAGTGCTGGGGTTACAAGTGTGTGCCACTATGCATAGCTTAGTAAGAATAACATTTTAGTAGACTTTGAGAAGGCAAAATACCCTCCGTAAAGGGAGTGGGGTCTCAAGAATTCAGCTGAAGGTTTTAAGAGAGAAGAATGAGGTGGCAAATGATAAGGGAATCCTGCTCCCCTGATTGCCTTTGTACTTGAGGCTTTGGTGCCAACTCCCCCAGGTCTCGCCAGGCTTCTAGGCGGTGCTGACCTGCAGACTCACTGGCCAACCCCATAACTGCACAAGGCAATTCCTCCAGGTAAATCTTTCTCTAAACATACATGTGCACTTATGTGCAAGTACACACACATACACACACACACACTCCTTGCTGTTTCTTCAGAGTAGTAAAGTTGTTTCAATTAAATTTCCAATACAAGAAACATAATAAACAGGTATTTGTTTTTAAATGTCAGAAGTACTCACTAGAGGTAGGAGCTCTGGAAATCTATACGCCACTTCACTTTTGCTCAGTAATACATGCAGACCTGCATAGAAGGGCAAATACACAGAGAGGTACTTGTGTAAGTTAAAGCAATTTAGAGAAAACCCTAAATATTCACTTAACTTTATTATGTAACTTTTAAAAAAATCTTTGGGAATCTATCAGGTGGCAAATTAAGATATAAAATGAACTGTGTCCACAAATAAAGATTTGTAAGGGCTGTCCTAATGCAACTCTGTCAAAAGCACAATCAGAACTGGTCTGAATTACACACCCCTCTGTACCCTGGTGACACTCAGAAGTCAACGCTGGCTATGCAAACAGCACAAGTGCTATGAAGCATCACACAACGGTCATGAATTAGGCCAAGGAAGAGTCACTGCACTGGCCGTGGTCCCACATGAGCACAATGGCAAGGGATTCTCCTCACCACTCAACAGGGAACGAGCCC